GGATGAGGTCTTCCAGGCTGTGAAACCGGGCAGTGTGGATTTTGTTTTCCCCCAGATGCACCTTAAGATAGTACTGCTGCTGCGGGGGCTGCGTAGCTGCCGGCACCTCCCCTCCGGCTTTGAATTCCCGCTTGCCGAAGCGGCACCAGGCGGCGAAGCTTTCCGAGTTCGTCCAGCAGATCTCCTCGCTCTTGAGGCCCAGGTGGCCGCAGGCGTTCTGCACCACCAGCTCGGCCACCAGCGGGCGGTAGCGGTACCAGCTATTCACCACCCGGCCCACGTTGGCCGCGCCCGCCTCGTACAGGCTGTCCTGGCGGATCTCGCCTTGGTGCAGGTGGATAATGTGCCCGCTGCCCACGTACACCGCCCAGTGCGGGACCGGCGCGGGCAGCTCCCGAGCCGGCTGTAGCCACAGCAGCTCCAGCAGGTCGCCGGGCTCGCAGAGCGCTGGGAGTGCGGTGACAGCATAGACGCTCAGGTCCGCGCCCTGAGGGCCGCCGCTCACTTTGGAAAAGATGCATTCCTGGCCCCGAAAGGCGGAGAACTGAGTCTAGTTAAGGACTAGTTGGTGCAGCAGGTGGTGGTGGTGGCGGCTAGGGCTCTCTGGGCAGGGGGTGCAGCCTGGGGGGGCCTTCACGCCAAACTTGTCGGGTTGCCCGCGTTCGTCCAGGTCCTCCTCCTCATCCGAGAAGAAGTAGGCGACCCCGACCCGAAGTTCGTCCTTCTCAATCCCGGACGGGTCCCCTGTGGGCAACTCGCTGTAGTTGAGGTGGGTGATGCGGTCCAGTTGGTTGCCCATCAATGACGCGGCGAGGCGAGGGCCAGGAACTAGGATCTGCGGAAGAAGAGGAGAAACAGACACCATCAGAGTCAGGGGGACTCTAATGTCCCTCCAAGATGGACAGTGCCCCTGGGAGCTGCCCGCCCGTGCACGCCCCGCATTATTGTCACCTGCGCCAGCCGAGTTCCCTGTGCCTCCCTGTGGTGGGGAAGGAGGTACAGAAGCTACCAGTCCCGCGGGCCAGAGCGGACGCCACCAGCCACCACAGGGCCTCAGACCCTGTCCGGGAAGCCTATTCTAACTCCCACAAGAGAAAATGCAGGCGG